ACTAGGCAACGAATGAATGAGCACATCACGTGCAATGCAACAGAATCCAAAAGAGAGAGCAACAAGGAAGATAAGCATATTTAAATGATCAGTGTTCTTCTATCAAGTCAAAATTAAGCTGCCTTGCATTTGACTTAACAGTATGCTGCTCAATTATTCCTCCAAAAGTACTCCCCTCCTTGACTTGTTTTGATAAACAGGGCATATAGATGTTTAAATACCAGTTGGCCCCTTGTTAGCCAGCTAATTAAAATGAAATTATTTTTGAAAAGTTATGACTAGCCAGGCATGGTGGCTCACAGCTGTAATGCCCACAGCTCTGGAGGCTGAGGCAGGAAGATCGCAGGTTAAGCCAGCCTCGGCAATTTAATGAGGCTTGTAAGCAACCCAGTGGGACACTATCTCAAAATAAAAAATTAAAAAGCTGGAAATGTGGCCCCACGGTTAAACACCCCTGGGTTCAATCCTTGGTACAAAAAAAAAAAAAAAAGAAAAACAGTTATGACTAATTCATTGTTTTAATTTTTTAAAAAAAGATATTTGTACACAAAAATCATCCTATGTCAATAAGGCGTAGTGGTACGCACCTGTAATCCCAGCTACTCCGGAGGCTGAGGCAGGAGGATCCCAAGTTCAAGGCCAGTCTGGGCAATTTAGGGAGGCCCTGGCTCAAAAATAAAATAGAATGAACTAGGGCTGTGGCTTAGTGGTAGAGTCCCCCTGGGTTCAATCCCCAGTACCAAAAACAACAGCAGCAACAAAATCAGCCTGTGTCAGACATAAATTACACATTGTCACACCGATTGCCTGCTATGTTCAATGACATGGAAGTTGAAAATGATATAATTATGATGTGATATTGAAATTAGTATCTTACACAGCCATATGTTAACTCTATGCCATTTCTCCCATGACAAATTGATCGAATACCCTAGATAATGTTTTAACACACATCAAAAATTAGAATAAACTATGAATCATTCTGTCAACTTATGATTCAATAGAATAATGTATATCTTTCATAGTTATTAATATTTAGTGTCTTTCAGTAAATTAAAAAATCAAGCTTAACAAAAGTTAAAAATATCTGATGATACATAGATGATGATAGAAGTAATATGTATTAATGAATCTTTGTATGACTGACTTTCTTTGGGTTAATCATTCACAGAGTGATGTCAAACATATATCAAGACTTTGGCTCCTTTTTCATCCGACCTTCCGGCATTTCATTACTATAGTTACCTGATTAATGGATGCAATAATATATATGGCACGATATGATATGTTCACATTAAATTTTAATCAAATATTGCTAAATTCAGAAAACATTAAGTAAATCATGACTGATGAGGCAATATCGCTGCACTGTCATATTGATGACTCGGAAACTTCACTGCTGAGAGTTACAGATTAAGCACAAGAAGTGAATTTTATGAGGAAATATAAGTATCTCAACTTCCACAGTTGCATTTTTTAATTGCTTTGCAGCCACCAGAGGAGACTCAAGATCCATCAAGTCTATTGGTGTCACAGATCTTGCAATTCCCTTCCTTGATTTCAAAAATTGTATTTGCTGGGAAAGAAGAGTCCATTCGTTATCTGTGGAGGTTTGTTGTTTCTTATCATGGATTTTTATTGTTTGTTTTGTGGTGTGGTTTTAATGCAGGGGCACTTTACCACTCAGCTACATCCCAGCCTCTTTTTTTTTTTTTCTTTTTTAAGACAGACTCTCACTAAGTTGCTTACCGCCTTGCTAAATTGTTGAGGATGGCCTTGAACTTGCAATCCTCCTGCCTTAGCCTCCCAAGTCACTGGGATTCCAGGTGTTTGCACCACTGTGTCTGGCTCTAATCATGGTTTTTAACTAAAAGTTATTGTCATTATTCTATTTAGATGAGGCGCTTAAAATAGTCAGATTCATAGGAACAGAAAGTAAATGGGAGTTGACAGGGGCTGGCACAGAGGGGGAAATGGGAAAATGCTGTTTAATGAATACAGAGATTCAGTTTTATCAGACTTTGGTATGATAAAAAAGTTCTGGAAATCAGTTGCACAACAACATGAACATACTTAACACTGATGAACTCTACACTTAAAAACGGTTACAATAGTACATTTTATGGGAAGTGTTTTTTATCATAATTTTTTAGAGTTGTATTTTAAATAGGACTTTGAATCTAATGCTGGCTCCTTCATTCTTGCCAAGGAGGGAAGGAAATGAGACCTATCATTTGATGAGGGACAGCTATGCCTCAACAGATACTCTACTTCTGTAGAAGCAGGTCTACTGGCAGGCAGCCTCATCCTAGGGCTTGGTGTGAAGTCCTCGTTGTGTGTCACCCGGAAGCAATCTTGACATGTCTGTCACACAGCACAGCACATTTTTTGTCTAGATAAATTTGATGGGTGCGGTTTGAGATACTTTACACCTTGAAGCACTGGTGTGATCTCTCTAACCTCACAGCAAAGCCACAAAGGGGTCAACCTTATGCTGGCTGGATGGATGGATGGAAGTAGTATGTATTACCATAGAACTGGTGAGTGGTAAACTGGACCATCAGGTTCCAAAAAAAAAAAATGTATTCTTCTTACTGATGGTGGAAACATCCAGTGCTCCTCAGAGTCCTGGACTCCCAGAGGAAAACACTTCTCAGTCCCTCTTGCTGCCAAGCAGGGCTGTAGGACCCCACAGGTCCCTCTGGGTGTCAGGCAGTGAGCAGCCAGGTGTTCTCTCTTGCTGGGGAACCCTGGCAACCATGTGCTGGGGTGGTGAAACCATGAGATTGGATCTCTGAGTCACCCTTGGAAAGAAGAGGCCTAGAACCCACTCAACCTACAGCAGGCTTTGGGTGAACGAGAAATAAACCACTGGATGTCAAGCCACTGGGATTTTGAGCATTATTACCTAAGGACTGCCTATCCTGGCCTGCCTGATATGCTACTGTTGATTGAAAGATAGTTGATTAAAGTTAGTGCTGTGAGATAAAGTCCTGGTCTGGAAGATAAGAATTTTTTTTCTTGAGCTTTATCCACTCCAATCCTAGCATCCTATTTACCCAACTTGTCCCCTACCTCCTTTTGTCTTTGGAGGCAGGGGATTACCAGGGATCGAACTCAGGGCCCTCGAACATTAAGCCACATCCCCAGCCCATTTTTATATTTTTATTTAGAGACAGGGTCTCACTGAGTTGCTTAGCACCTAACTGTTGCTGAGGCTGCCTTTGAAACTTGCGAGCCTCCTGCCTCAGCCTCCTGATTCGCTAGGAGGATAGGAGTACTTCACCGGCATCCTCTACTTCCTTTGAGTCCTCCTTTTCCTTCTTTTTCACAAGACAAATGGAATCTCATGTTAGAATTATCTAGAATCAATTCATTTTCACCTTCCTCACATTGACACAGGATGGTGTTCTTGACCAGATGCATCCCATCCTCCATGAATATCTTACTGCATTTTTCCTAAAACATGGTACTAAAAGAAATTCAGATACTTCATGAGTGATTTCTTTTTAGTCGTTACATATTTATTAAAAAGTGTATTAGAAAAACACATCTTGTAATTTCATGGATATTGTTTCTTAGAACAAGGCTAATATTTATGTTTTAAAAGTAGATATATATGTTTAGAAATTAATAAATACACTACAGGGAGCCTATGCACTGGTGTGGAAAAAATCAGGAAACTAAGGAAAAGCTGCCAGATCAGGTCTTAAGCCACGGTGAGCCACTCTACCAGAGTGAGTGCTACTCATGCTAGGTGGCCAGTTCTTCCTCTCATCCTGCAGCCTTTGGACAATGTGATTCAAGGAATATTCCCTGGCCTGTGTTTCCCCACATCACAGGGCTGGGTAGGCATGTTACCCCTGCCTGAGCACTAAAGAAAGTAACAGAGGTCACCAGACAGAGCTATGAATTTATCTCTATCTCTTTCTTTTCTAACTAGAGTCCAAGATCTCATCATTATGGAGCTGACCAGTTTGTTTGGTTGATCCCATAAAGGACCCTGCAGCTCTCAGCTGGCAGAGGGAGGAGGTAGAGGGCCAGAACCCTGGGCTAGGGCTGAGTCTCTCTTGCTCAAACATTGCTGTAATGTTTAGCCTGGGCTCCTGCCAAGTTTTTGGGAGGGGGCAAGTCGCCCAACTGGGTGCAGTCTGAGCACCTGGGTTCTCTAGTGAAAGGTGGTAAAATGCAGAGATGGGTAGATCAGTACAGCTTCCCACATGTTTAGGTGTTCAGCACAAACTGAAAAACATGAATAATTTGCCCTGGTCAGAACTCCAAAGACTGCTTTGACCTTGGTATCACTGCCTCTGTGCTGTAGATAAAGCCACCATATTGCTTTCCTCAGAATTCTGCCCATCCTCTCTGCCTTTAGTTTGACCCAGGGGAATTCACAGTACATTCTGGTTCTTATCTTTCTGTAGAAGGAGTTGCAGTTTCCTCACCACCACAGGCATGTAGCCTCCTCCCTCAGCTGGTGGTTTGTCACGTAACACTGGCTAAATCTTGGCTCCATCTCACTTCCTCTGGTCTACCATTAGCAATTTCACAAATGTCTCAATCTGTGGACCTAGATCAGCAACCAGAACCAAGATAGAAAAGGAGGAAACGAATCCTGGGAACAAGACATTGATTTCTTCTCACCTGACACCAGCCTGCTCCAGATCATGGAAGACAGGCCCAATCACTTGAACTCCAGGATGGAATAAAGGAAAGGAAATGAAAGTACCACTTGGGTTGCAGGGCCCATGGGATATGCTCCATGGTTCACAGAGAGCACCTATGGACCATCAAAGTCCGTCTGGAAGAAAAAAAAGAAGGAAAACAGTGGGAACTAGAGAAGTTCTTCCAAAGGGATTTTCTAAGAATGGAAAAAGGTACACCACTGATTTGTTGGTCCACTCGGGAGCCCAGGGATATTGTGAAGGGAGTTAATTTAAGTAAGGCAATTTTGAGTGTGTAGGTAAGTTGGATATCAAGGGGAAGAATAATATAGCCCAGTGCTTACTTCAGCAGCACAGATGCTGAAATTGGAACAATACAGAGAAGATTAGCATGACCTCTAGGCAAGGATGACAGGCAAATTTGTGAAGTGTTCCATGTTTAAAAAAAAAAAAAGAAAAGAAAAGAATATGTGGCCCAAAGAAAGAAGGGAAAGCATAAAGTATGATTAAAAAGTTGAGAGTGTGCTGGGAGTGGCGGTGCATGCCTATAATCCCAGAAGCTTAGAAGGCTGTCAGGATAATTGTGAGTTAGAGGTCAGCCTCAACACCTTAGTGAGATTCTGTCTCCAAATTAAAACATGAAAAATAAAAAGGGGGGCTGGGGTTGTGGCTCAGTGGTAGAGTGCTTGCCTAGCATGAATGAGGCACTGGGTTCGATCCTCAGTACCACATAAAAATAAAAAAAAATAAAGATATTGTGTCCACCTAAAACTAAAAAAAAAAAATAAAAAAAATAAAAAGGGATGGGGATATGGATCGGTGGTAAAGCACCTCTGGCTTCAATCCCAGTACCAAAAAAAAAAAAAAAGTGGAGAGTGGAACCAGTTGAGACAACTGATGGAAAGCCCCCTGGAATTGGTATGACTTCTCCTGACCCAGTGTTTGGGCCTGCCAGGGCAGTGTCAATTTCCAGTCAGGCCCCCAGGGACTCTCACCAGCACCTTTAGAGGTTAGTGGAAGCTGCTGTGGGCATGTGGGTTAGAGCCAGCAGGCCATGGGCTGGCCTGCCAGGAACACATTGAGAGTTACAGCTGTCCCTTTTGCATGTCACCTCCCAGGACAAGCGATCTCATTCCCACCTGAACTTGAGGTTACAGGCAGACTGGTGGATTGTTGTAGGACTAGAGTAGCCTCCTAAAGATAAGAGGCTCTAAAGGGGTAGACTGACTATGGCTTTCCCATGCCAAGATGCCCTCAGAAAACGTGTTTATTTTGATACTGATTTCTTAATTAGGTGATTCTTTTTTGGGGTGGAGAGGGGTGGTACTGGGGATTAAACTCAGGGACACTTGCCACAACCCCAGCCCTATTTTGTATTTTATTTAGATACTGATTTCTTAATTAGGTGATTCTTTTTTGGGGTGGAGAGGGGTGGTACTGGGGATTAAACTCAGGGACACTTGCCACATCCCCAGCTCTATTTTGTATTTTATTTAGAGACAGGGTCTCACTGAGTTGCTTAGTGCCTCACTTTTGCTGAGGCTGGCTTTGAACTCAAGATCCTCCTATCTCGACCTCCAGAGCCGCTGGGATTACAGATGTGTGCCTGGCTATCCATTCTTTTTTTTTTTTTAAGTTATTTTTGAGTTGTAGTTGGACACAGTATCTTTATTTTACTTATTTATTTTTATGTGGTGCTGAGTATCGAACCCAGGGCCCCGCGCATGCTAGGCAAGCGCTCCACCGCTGAGCCACAACCACAGCTCCTAGCTATCCATTCTTAATTGGGAGAAAACAGTGGTACCATTCCACAGAACTATAGATCTGCCAATTGCTACAGTGTGTGTATAGCAGGCACCTGGCCTATTTTCTGCTCTGACCGTGTATGCAGTTCTATGATTATGTTTCAGAGAACAGACTTTGAGTTATGGTATGTCTGAATGAACTAATAAATATATTAGGTGTGGATATATTTTCTTTCTTAATCACTTTTTGTCTGTTTATAAATCATCAATTGCATCTCTGCAACCTGAACTTTGAAATGAGTTGAAACCAGAGCCAAAATTTTTTTCACTTATTTATTTGGCAATATATCACCTGAGTAGTACAAACGGACATCTGTCTGCAAGTTCTATATGAAGTGGTGGGAAAGAAAGAATCGATGGGCACACCAGCACATGGGGGAATCCCTTTTGTTTCAAAAATGCTTCTTCAAAGGAATCAGCATCCTTGACTGCCTTTGAGGACATCGATGTGTGGGAGGCTCTGTGGGTCTCTCTACAATGACAAAACTGAGGAGCCTGTCTTGGATTGGTGCTTCCTTCAAAATGCACAGTCTGAGCAAAAAAATGCAGATACAAAGCACGCACAGAGAAGAAGTCAGCGCTGAGCAGAGTGTGGGCTGAAGAATCCTGCCTCCTAAGGAGGTGACAGTCAAATGACGCTGGCTCATCATGTATGTCAAAGGCTGTGTTCGGCAGGTAAATAGCAATTAAGCATTTCCCACCCACTCACAAATTCCATGCTGGAAAAGCTGGTACTGCGGGAGCCCCTTCCAGGGCTGGATCCATGCATATCCCAGCCTTTTTAAGAAAGAAACAAACCAGTTTCTTAATACACATATCAGGCACGATTTTAGAATGTTTTTAATAATAACAACAGAAAAACTGTGACTTTTCCATCTTAACCCCTGGTATTTAATCACCCCTGCTGTATTTTGTTTTCTGCAATATGAAATAAAAAGTCAATAGTCTAACAGCAACTACTGGATCAAAGTACAGTGACTAAATATTTACTATAAGAAAAACCTAATTGAGCAAAATCTCACTTGAGTAGGACATACATTCCCCTAAACTTTGCATTACTATCTAATACAGACCTAAGGTATATTCATTTGAAGAAAATATGAAGCTATTTAAAGTCCCACAAGTAAATAGATTGTGTGAGGCAATATCAAATAAATGAAGACAATGAATATCAAACCTCATGTAATGTATATCAAACAAAACAAGACAATATATAGTTAAAGCTGGGGCATAGCCAGGCACATTGGCACATGCCCATAATCCCAGGTACTCAGGAGGCTAAGGCAGGAGGATGGTAAGTTTGAGGCCAGTCTCAGCAACTTAGCGAGTTCCTTTCTCAAAACAAAAAATAAAAAGGGCTAGAAATGTAGTTCAGAGGTACAGCACCCTTGGGTTCAATTCCAAGTACCACAAGAAAAAAAAGTGTGTGATAAACTTTCAAGTGTTATAGAATTACGGAAGAAAGAAGGAATCGGAGCAATTATGAAAGGCTTTGTCAGTGAATGAGTGAACAATAAAGAAAAGCAGTTACAATACAATTTCCAAATAGATATTGCTTTCTGATTTATTTTTAAAATATAATGCAAATAATTCTTCTACTGAGTAAAAAATGTGCCCAGATTTGATAAGTAGTTCACCAACGCATGCCAAATACTACCAAATATTATCTTGCAATATTATATGTCAAATAGTTGATGTCTGCATCAGTCAATGATATCTATATTACCCAAATGTTATGATCTATTGGAAAAACTCAGATATGCCAAGGCAGACTTCTACTTTAGCTAATGTTATTGCTTGTTGCAGTAAAGCAAAATAATAAACAACCTTCTCTTTTTCTCTCCCACTTCCCAGAGAGGAATAGCTGCATTTTTTACGTACGCCAATTATGCAGCAGAGATCTGGGTTATCTGTAATGGAGGGAGCAAAGGAGGAAAGAAGCAACAGTACAGACTAGTGATATAATGCAATAAAACACACTGTGGTTTTGGGGTTTTGGTCTATGACCAGCCAGAGAGTGAGTGAAGAAGAAATCATTGGCAGGTGCTGCATTTTGGATGAAGCTTTTTGCAGGCTGAATAAATCAACACAATGCCAGACTTATGTGTAGGAAGACAGGCAGCCACCTACGTGCCATAATGTGAAGTGTACAACAAGGCCCTGCTGGCCATGAGATAGCTCTTCTGTGAACCTACAGGCGACCAGTGTTCTCAGCCAGTGTGTTAACCGAACACTTACTCCATGTCCAAAGGTGGCTGCACCCCAAAGCAAATATGATATTGTCCCTGCCTTCAAAAGCAAGTCTTGAAGGCAAAAACAAAGTTGGTAAGGTAATAAGTGAAGATAATATATGCCTTAAATCTGTGTGATAAACTACTGTATGTTACAGAATTGAGAGAAGAAGGAAGGAGAAATAAGAACCATCTGGAAGATTTTGTCAATGAATGAGTGCACAGAGAAGCAATATCTTCAACAATAGCATGGATTAGAAGAGAGAAAGGGAGATCAAAAGGCACAGCAGCACAAGGACACAGGTTAAGGAGGACTGTGTTTTAGAAAATGAGACAAATCTGATTAAAAGAGTGCATTTGAGGCAGTGCGGGGGTGCTGAATAGACAGAGCATAGTCAGGTAATGGGAGGTCCTCTTTTTCACAGAGGACCACTTTTACAGTGTTTCCTTTCATAAAGACCAAAACAGGAACCCCTATGCCATTTACCCCTTAGATTATCGCCCCTTTTTTTTCTTTCTTAAGATTTATCATTGTACTAGAAGAATGGGATCCTAATCAGAATAAGTCATATGTCATGTATGTATAATATGTCCACATACACTCAACAGTCATGTTTATTTAAAAAGAACAAAGAAAAATTTTAAAAATAAGATTTATCATTGTACTTCATATTATTTTCATTTATTTCTGGACTTGTTTATTTACCACCTATTATATATCTCCTGCCTGGCATGTAGTATTGTGTTTAGTGCAATAAGAACTACCTAGTAAATGTATAGATGAATGAATAAATTGATGAAAACATTTCTACAAGACACACACTTGATGGAGCAGGTGAGGCAGGATGCTCTTTGACTCTCTTGCATTATATCAAATTCACTGAGTACATTATATTTCTCTTGAAAATAGAAGGAGCCCAGTCCTGAAGAATTCAAAAGACAATATTTTTCTTCTGAGGAGGAGTGGAATCTTCAGGTCAAAAGTAAGTCTTGTGTCAGTTGTGTTGCTCACCTATAATCCCAGTGACTCAAGAGGATGGGCTGGAGGATTGCAAGTTCAAGGCCAGCCTCAGCAATTTAGCAATATCTCAGCAACTTCGCCAAATCCTGTCTCAAAATAAAAAATAAAAAGTCTGGGCGTGGTGGCACATGCCTGTAATCCCAGTGGTTCAGGAGGCTGAGGCAGAAGGATCGCAAGTTCCAAGCCAGCCTCAGCAAAAGCAAGGTGCTAAGAAACTCAGTGAGACCCTGTCTCTAATGAAAATACAAAATAGGGCTGGGGATGTGGCTCAGTGGTTGAGTGCCTCTGAGTTCAATCCCTGGTATCAAAAATAAATAAATAAATGAAAATAAAAAATAAAAAGTTCAGCCTGTAAAGGTAAAATTTCTAAGCTGATTCTAAGCTGC